GTGTAGCATGTTTTACTAAAACATGCCTTAAATCTTCCTTATACTTTTTAACTAATGAGCATGAGCTTTAAACAGCAGGGCAGATAGCACAAAAGAGTAAAGCACAAGAAACAGTAACAGAAATAGATACCATGGGCAATTCAGTGTTGTGCCCTCCAGTTCTTAACAGCTGCCTGTTCCTCTTGCCTGCTCTCTTCTTGTGGAAATCTTGCTTCCCCTCCCTCTCTAAGAGTCCTTACTTACTAGTCAGACTAGTCTGAGGTGAGCTAGGTGGCATAATCCAGGCAGGCTTGTTAGAAGTCCCATTCCTAGACCCATATCTCCAAAGGTTCTGAGTTAGTAGTTTTAGAACAGGGTTTGAAATCTTTATTTTAAAAATGCTTCCCATAATGCAGACAGATGGGAGATTTAGGGACCTCTACTCCCCACTCTTACTCCTGTTGTCACACAACTGTTCTTCTCTAACCCCACTGCCATCGTCTGTGTGCCCATGTGGTGCTCAAACTGTGCCCGTCTCTGCAGTCACTGTCTTGAGCAAGTGGAACAACCCTGCAAAGAAGATATTCTTAATCACACATTCCAAGTAAGGAAACCAAGGCTCAGTTATGTTTATCAAGTTGTGCAAACTCTTCTGCTTTTTTCCTTGACAAGAGCAAGTTAATACCCTAGCTGATATTAGTTCTTTTGTTTAAGCACGTAAAACATCTCCTTGCATTGAACTTCTGTGAGTCAGGGATCGATGATAAGAAACAGAAACCTATTCAAGACATGAAAAAGGTTTACTGAAATGGTGTAGGAGAATTTCATGGAAACCAAATGTAGAAAACACAGTTTGATCTTAAGGAAACTTATTTAAACACAGCCTTGGGTGTTTGCAATATTTGTAACAATAAGAGAAGTATATAATTTTATATATGTATTTTCCTGATGTATATGTGAGGGAGGAACAAAAAAAAACACAACAACCCTGGAACTACCTTCTGGAGGGCGAGTCCCTTGTAGTTCAGGCTTCCACTAGGTGAGTGTTCAGGGAACCCATCTGTGTCAGTGTACCCACTGGTGTTGTTGTGAGAGGCTGCAATTGGTTTCAATGAATTTTTTTTGAAGACTCTTTCAATGCATTTGCCTATTTCATAATGGGTGATTTACGAGTGCACCTGCCCACACCGCACTGAGTGATCAGTAGTTTTTGACCCAAAATGGCATGGTCTTCATGCCCCACCCTCCTTATTCATCTGATCTTACCCTGAGGGACTGTATTTTGTTGCCCTGATTAAAAAAGTCCTTAAAGGGAAATGTTTTGCCGACGTGGAGGAGGTGAAACAAAAAATGGCAGAAGCTCTAAAAGCCATCAAAATCAACAAGTTCAAAAACTGTTTTGAGCAGTGGGGAAAAAGTCTTGATAGATGCCTTACATCAAATGGAGAGTACTTTGAAGATGAGTGAAGTTTAAACGTGTAAGAATAAGTACATCATTTTTTATAAATTCCAGGTTTTGGGGGACCTCCCCTTGTGTAAAATGGCCCAACCCAGAGAGGTGCTTAGAGTAGGTGCAGAAGCTGTCCAGGAGTGCAGGAACTACCCGTGTCTCCCATAGCCAAAGGGGGTAAAGTTCAGGCCCTCCTTCCTTAGAGCCGAGTCTACGGCATCCTGCTCCAACACCCCACCTTTTCCCTGGCTACAGGCCCACTGAGGGACAAAACAAAGGGAGCAAGTGTGGCAAGGGAAAAGGGGCCCTATTCCCTGCAGGGTTTTCATTCTAAATGAGAGAAACATCAACTCAAATTGACTTTTAAAAAATTTATTGGGTTGAAATAACATTAAATGGAACCCTAAATGAATTATATACCCATTGTAGTACATCAAGGAAAGGATAATTAGAACTAGATTTAATACAATAGTGGTGTGAATGGCTATTTTATATTATTTCTGCATTTAAAGTGGGATGGCAAATTAAATTTGTTTTTACCTTTGTTAAAGAATAAGTAGAGCATGCATCCTATTATGGCCTTTTAGGAGTTACTGACTGCCTTATAACGTAAGATTCTAAATTTGTTTAAACTTGCTACAAAAAAGTTTTAGTTCGTATAACTTTCTGTAAAATATAAGAAAACAGAAGAAACAGAGGAAAGGGAACTCTAAAACCTGAAATTCAGAGTTGGTAAACAGATGTGGGAGAAATACGTGTCTTCTCATAAAGACCGTCACCCTGACTCACTCAGAACACATTTGTGTGGCTATGTAATGATAAATCTTAGGAAAATGAACCAATATGAAAAAGTTATTGGTTATATAAATAAAAGTTTCAGAATTAAATCCAGCTCTGGATTTAGCTGGGCGTCATTTTGTAACATGTCCAAGCTTCAACAGGTTTTCTATAGCAGGTATTTAATACATACTTGCTGAATTGAATTAAGGGTGTGAATTTTCCTGAGTCAAATTGTCTAAGTATTATATTTGTTATATTCCCTGGTATTGATATTTAGGAGTTTTACTTTATTTTTATTAATGTGAACATTTATTGATATTTTAATTTTTATTGATGTTTTTCAGTATACACTATTTTGTTTTCTTTTTGATCAAAGAGTTTGGGTGGGTATATATTTTTTTAGTTTTCAAGTAGTTGGGGACATTTGTGCATGTGTGGTTTTATTTTGCTTTTATTTCTATATTTATTACTTCCTGGTCAGAAATTATGAATATATTATTTCTGTGTTTTGAATATTTTCTGTTTTTCTTCTTGGAAATTCTTTCTTTCAATTTGTTAATATATTTAGTCTGACTACAGTCAGAGCTTGTCAGGGAAGCTGTTTTGTCTCTTTAGGGTGACTTTCATACAGGTGGTCAAATATATTATATGTCTCTTTTAAACTTGAACTCTAGATGAAAAGCTTATTTCCCCATATTCAAATTATTTTGAGGGAGACCTGTCTGTTGTCCTATATGCTATAGTTACTTTGTAAATATAATAATACATACATACATACATACATACATACATACCTTATGATATTGTTATCAAGATTAAGTGAGTCAATATGTATGAAATGCTCAGCACTGTTCCTGGTCCACAGCAAGCCTTCATTAAAAGTTCCAGGTGACAGCTCCGCTGGTATGGCTCCATGGCTTGAACCAAGGGGTTGCTGGTTTGAACCAAGGGGTTTTGAACAAAGGGGCTTTTGAACCAAGGGGTTGCTGGTTTGATTCCCAGTTGGGGCACAGGACTTGGCTGCAGGCTGGGTCCCCAGTAAAGAGACATGTGAGAGGCAACCACACATTGACTTCTTTCTCCCTCCCTTCCCCTCTCTGTAAAATGAATAAAATCTTTTTAAAAAAAGTTCCAGATGATATATATTTTTTTCCCGAACCTGCAATTTTGCTTTTAGTTGCATTCCAGTTTGATAGACTTAGGGTGGTTTTTAATTATCCCAACGTATAACCAAGAAAATATGGCAATAGATGAGAACAAAAGGCAAAGGAACAAAAACTACCCTACCGGACATGTGTAATATAATGACTTTATGTGGCACCTCCTTAAACAAAAAGAAAAGCCATTAATTTTGTCTTAAACATGTTCTACTGTGCTCTGGAGAGACTATGTGGAACTGCCAAGCAATGTAACCACATCTGAATCCTAATAATAAAAGAGATACTAATTTCCCACTTTTCTGAACAGGGTATGAGAACCTGTTCCTCTTCACTATTAAACAATATAAACTTTCTGGACAGGGATTAGGCCTTTTATTTCTGATCCCCAGTGCTGTGCACACAAGCCTGAAAGACAGCTGTGAAACGCACTGAATTTTGTGGGCATTAGGAGCTCAAGTTTTAGAGTTCAGCAGACTGGACCAAATTCCACTTCAGCTACTCAGAAACTAAATAATTTGCCTTAAGGTAACTTTCTATTGAATACTTATTATTGGCCAATTATTGTGGTCCTTGTTTTCATATAAATGTGCAATAAGTGAAGGTAGTTGTTGGAAAGTGCTTTAAGTTTTACCCACTATATAGTTCACTGAATCCACTTAACACCCCCCCTCCCCCACCACAAGGCAGGTGTGTTTTACATGGGGAATGATAATGGTAAAGTAATCACCAAATTTATTCTTTTTATATATAAACATTGAGGTAAGGTATTTCGGAAAAAATCTGCCAATAATAACTAGCAAGTGAGGTGTGGTAATCCTTTTTAGTGATGCTAATTTTAAAATTTATTAAGTATTATCTATTCTCATTGCAAATCTATCAATAATGACCAATGGTGTAGCTAACATTGCATTTCTTACTACTCTTGGTTTTCGAACTACATATCCTAGTAAATAGAATTTGCAAACACCTGATTTTTTAGAATTCGGATTTGCCAAATATCCTATCAGATAGGTGATTTCACAGCCACTGGATGAAATGTTACCTTCAAAATAGAAAAAAAAACAAACAGAACACTTTGTGAGGCTGCTAAAGCCACCAGCCACACCTCTCCTTTTCTCTGCTTTCAATGTTGTCTGTCGTCTGAACTCCCTTATCTAGGAGGAAGATTCACACGTGGTAGGTAGTGACTTCGTTTATACGCGTTCTCACAGAGCGCTCTCAATTCTAAGTCAGGAGAAGTGGGCAGCAGAAGGTCGTGCACTGGGGCCTTTTCTTATTTCGCTTTCGGTTCAGTGAGGGTAGGCAGCTGCGTGGTAGTAGATCTTGATAACCGAGGAGAGTTTAGACCAGCGTAACCCTTCACTGCCCCCATTCACTACCTCTTTGTGTTTGCATGTCTCCCAGCTGGAACTGGCCGAGGCACACCCCGCCCCGGCCAATTCCACAGCAAACTCCACACCCTCCGGGAACACTTGCCACCTCCTGCCAGCTCACAACCCACGCGGAATCATTCCATTTCCCGGAGACCAATCAGCACTCCGCACGCTGCCGCGCCAGCCAATCCAAGCAAACACACGTTTCTGCGTTCAACTTCGCCGTGTAGTTCCTCGGGGCTCCGGGTTCGAGCCGGGGGGGCGTGCCTGGAAGTTCGGCCCGCCTTCCCCTTAAGAACTTGGTGCCTTCCAGTTGGCCGTGATCTGCAGTGGCTTGACGCCAATTGGCTGGCCGCTGTCCGCTGCCTCGACGGGTGCTTATTCTTAGAGAGCTTTAACCCGTCCGCGGTGCGGAGAGCGGTGAGCGTTAAGTCCCTCCCGGAGGCTTCAGGGCTCCACGCCACCGGTCGCGCCTTCTCAGGTAGCCTTGGGTGGATGCGCGGGGTCTTCTTAGCGTAAGTGAGGCGGCCAAGAGGGAGGGCGACAGGCGGGCGTCCGGGGCGCCCAGCAGGGTGCGTTTTCCCGGAGCTATTGAGGAGAGTGGGGTGAGGAGGGCAGCGGCCCAAGGGCGCCGCGTGCGGGCGGGTGTGGACCTCTGAGTTGAGAGAGAAAACAGGCTCAGGGAGGGGAGAGGACGATCCGGAATTAACCAGGGGCTTGCACTTTGTCTCTCTGCACTGCTCAGCAGCTTAAGGTTTTGGACACTGATTAGGCCTCAGTTTCTAAATTTGTTAAATGGGGAAGCGGCGGTGAAAACCTCGCTTCTAGACGAGGTAGGTTATGTTCCGTGAAGGGGACCGTGCTTCCTGTTTTTCAGTAAATGCACAGACACCACACCGGCTACCCTCTCCCACTAAGCCTTGACTCACACCACATTGATGATAAGAGACAGCTTTTCCAAGTGCACTAGACAGGGTGGGGCAGAGAATAGGTTTACAGCTGTGAATACGCAAAAGACAGTTCATTCTTGTACTATTATTTATTAATTATTGTACTATTTTCTTTACGAACAACTGTAAACCTACTTTTGTCCCTCCCTGTATCTTGCAAGTTCCGTGCTAAGTGTGTAAAGTCATGTAATTCTTCAATAAATTAGTGTTACTATTATCCTTAATTTGCCATTAAGAAAGGTTACCTGAACTATTTTGGGTTCAGAAGCCAGGACAACATATGACAAATTCAATATGATATCAGATTTTTAACGTAAAGTCTTTTCCAGTGATTAGCTTTCAGCGTTTTGCAAAATAGACCTTTAGCCTCTGAATGCAGAAGCCTTGGGTTGAAATTCTGGCTCCATCACTTACTAGCTGTACGATCTTGGGTCAGTGACCTAATTTTCTCATTGCTCCTTTCCCTTTCTGTAAAATAGGGATAATTACAGACTAGCTCCTAAGGTTCTTTATGAGGATTAAATGAAATAATACAATTTAAAGTAGCCAGAAGATTGATCACACAGTAAATGATAAAAAATATTAGCTCTTACTATTTTTTAAAAAAGGAGTAGAGCATTAGAAGCATGAACATTAGGATGTAAACTTAAAGTTGTGATATCCTCAGAATTTAATCTTGCCTTAAGTGTTGTAAAAGGTCTTGATGTAAAGCTTGTGCTAAAATAAACCACAGTGGTCACTAAAACCGAGGGACATTAGTCACGTTGCAGAAGGAGGCTTCCCTGTTGCATACCTGCTACAGCCATTCTCAAAATGGGAAACTACTGCACTTTATTGAGTTGGAAAAGCTAAATTACCAATTCCAGATTGGAAATCATGCATATGCTGAAATTGTTGTTAGGTAGAAAATATAATTTAATTTACAAGACCTTGGTTTGCACAGCAACTGGGGGAAAATCTAAGGCCTGTTAAATTGAAGCTATTCACATAAGTGAAACTCATATCTATTGGTTAATGGAAGGTCGATTTTGATATGAGCTTCTTTAACAAGGGAGTTATGATTTAATCATACTGCATAAGTACAAACAGATTTTTATGGCATTCACTTTATTAGAGGTTGAGATGTTTATTATGTTCCATACTTAAAATACAATCTATGACCATTTCACTGTGACACATATTTGATACAAATTGGGGATGTATTGATTAAAAACTATGGTGCTCATAGAAGAATTTTAACTGGGAAAGGCTGCCCACTCTATGATGGCACCCACTATCTGCACTAGTGGTCACTTCCAAAACACGGACATAGAAAACATGAGCAAAAAGGTTAAAGTAAGGAAAGAATGAAGGTGGACATTACTCAGCACTGTGTAACAAAAGTGTCAAGAGCATATAATCTGTTAGATTCTGTTAAGGTTAAGTGGTACCTGTTCTCTTTGAAATGTAACTGGTAGATTTGGAGAGTTTCCTGATATAAGGTCAAGAAAGGGAATAAGGTAATTAGTAAGGGGGAACTGAGAGTGATATTTGAAACATTTTTCTGACATTCTCTACAGATGGAGATTGCATTAGGGCATATGGTATGCTTTCCTTTTGATTAACGTGAATGGCCTGCTATATTCGGAGAGTGCCAAGACCTTGATAACCCCAATACTGCCTCTTCTTGGTTCTGCAATATATATTTCTAGAGATCCTCTGACATGCTTGCCCACACACAGATTTATTCTCCTTTGGATTCAATCTTGATGAACACAAATTCATGCACAAATTATCTGCCTGGTTAAATACTTCATTGGCTAATAAGAGAGCTTTCCAAGTTTCTCCTTTGTTCTGTTCCTTACCTATCTTCTCCTCTATCATCTTTAAAGTGACACAATTCACAGGAGTTTTAATTTTTGTTATCGTTGTAGTTAAAAGTTTACTTGAAGGGTGGAATAAACAAATTTTGAGAGCCAAAACTGAAGTATATTAATTTCTATAGTTCTAGGGACTGGTATATACTAGATGCTTGATAAATGAAATAATAGACCTCTGAGAAATTGTTTTTCATTACAGTAATGGAAGTTTTAGTCACTCAGAAGCTCAAAGATGATTAGCATAAATGGGTCTGCTTTTGATATCTTGAGGTCTTCCATAGTGAGACTAGTAGCTCACTGTCCACCCATTTTTTTTCTATTTTAAATATTCACTGGGTTCCTACTGCATGCTAGACATAACATTGAACAAGTCACATTTCCTGCTCCAAAAGATTTACAATCAACTGGAAGAAGATGACAAGTGAATGATTACATTACAGAGCTGCTGTGAGAAAACACTGGAGGAGGAACTAACATAATCATTAGGGGAATCCAGGAAGGAAGAGTAGAAATTAGGCAGTGAAGCTCACCCAGTTCATAAAAGAGCCCATAAGCCATATTAAGGAGTTTGTACTTTATACTGATCAGTAGGAGTGAGTGATTCCTAAGGTAAGCACTGTAAAGATTCAGATTGTCATCTTTATAAGTACTTTTTATTGCTTACACGTTGTGTGCTTGATTTGCACAGAGATAATGTTGTTTATACTAATACTAGCTTTCAATTTCACCTTTGATTTCTGTCAGATGTTTTTGAAAAAATTCTCTTATTTGCCAGGAACCTGGCAGGTGACCTTTGAGTTTAAAGAATATCGTTTATTATCATGATCCCAGTAACAGATAAATGAAATTTCTTTTGCAACTCTTCTCTAAGAACTTATTTTTGTTTATAACATATTCTTGAATAAGGTCATTGTACTGGCTATCAAGTTGGCAGTCCCTTGGGTGGAAATGGGATATATTCCTGACTGACGGACTTTTTGAATGAGCTCATTCACTTTTAGTCTGTGGGAGGATATGTACTTATACATTTTTCACCACTTACATAGATTCTAAGTTTTCTGTTATTGAATTTTCTATATATACTTTCCCATGTTCCTGAAGAGATATGACACCCCAAAATATGCCACTTGGAATAAGGATTATTTTGAGCTGAAGGCAATTAAGCAGCAGCAAATGAGAAAAAGAGCTCTTTCTCCTCCCACTACCTGCCTAAAAGTAGGACATAAATTTTCCTTTGTGAAGGTCTCTGTCTCTTCTCCTACCTCAGGAAGAGGACAGCTCTCATCACTGGAGTCAGAAAGGTGGCATCCAGATGGTCTCTACAAACACTTTACTAAAATAACCCTCTCTTCTGTTGTTTTCTTCCATATATTTACTAATTTATAGCCCCTAGAAGTCCAACCCCTTTTCCTCTGTCTTATCACTTCTTCACAATTTATCACCCTTTATTAAAATTATGGGTAAGTATTCTTTGGGTCTCCACTTTCTTTTTATGAAGGCCTCTGCACAGGTACGAATTAAAATATTAACATCAAGTAAGATTTGTTTACCTTTTTGCCTGTTAATCTATCTAATCAGTGTAATTCACACATTCTGGAGACAGAACCTTAAGAGAGTAGAAGAAAGTTTCTTCTTCCCCCGTAGTTCTGTATCATCTTAATGTTTATCTTTTTTGATGGCTTGTTTGCTCTGTGTTGTGCTAGTTAAATGTTGACTAGAGCATTGATTTATTTCTGCCCCCTTTAATTTTTTGATCAGTGGTTTTCAATTCTGGCTGGATAACAGAGAGGATCAGTGAGACTTTAAAGGACCTAGATTTCAGAACAAACCACCTGAATCACACTATTTATCATTGGTCCCTAAAAACTAACATTTGCAAACAGTGTCAAAGAAAACTTGAGGCAGACAGAAGTTAAAGTGGTAAAAGCAAATCTTCATCAAGAACTATTGCAGTGGGGAAAAGAAACCTCGGTGTAGAACTGGGCTTCCTTCTGAATCCTACAAGGATAAGTGGAAATTTATAGCCAACGAGTAGGGTAGGTGTCACTGGATGGAAAATTACTAAGAGGAAATATTAGGGACAAGGGAGATTCTGGCTAAATTACGTTGATAGGACCCTTGCTGAAGGCAAGCCAGGGTGGGAAGATTGAGGGTGGGATGAGGAATTTTTGAGGGTGGGAGATTTTCACTAAACTGATTTAGCAGGATTCTTGCTAAAACCAAACTAAGGCAGCTAAGGACAAGCCCTAGAGGTAGGCCTAGTCAAAGAGAGGACTCAAAGGAGACTGAGGGAGTGTTTGTCAACAGCAACAACTACTGCAAAGTATAATGAAGGTGATTCTGACGTGTGCATCTGTAATTAAGGATTGAAGCCTTATTTTCACAGAGGCTTGGTATTTCATGTCAATCTTTTCTTGATCTACTTTTTAATAGCTTGACAGGTCTATAAATGGTCAGCTTTTCCCCCAAAGCCTTTTCTCCTTTAGGCTTTTACTGGAGAGTACCACAGCACTAACGGAGATAAAGTTAAGAGCAAATAATTCTTGTTTTGAAGCAAACACACTTCAACAAAGATCAGGGGCTTAAAGTGTTCCAGGCAATGTTCTAATTGGTGAGAACAGACTGGTGAATAAGGCAGACAAGGGCCCCTGCCCTGTTGATGCCAATGATCAAAGAGTAGAATACAGTATACCAATAAGTGAACAATTTCATTTCAGGTAGTGATAAGCATGAAGAAGACAATGAACGAAGGCTATAATAGTGACTTAATAGAAGACTGTATTAAGGACAGGAGGTCCAAACTGAAAGATTGTCATTATAGGTTGTTACTGGTTGTGCTCAGATTTGGGTCTAGTGATCCTGGCAGGGAAATAGCAAGCACAAAGGCCCAGAGTCAGTGGCAAGCTTGGCCTGTGTGAGGAACAGAAAGAAAACTGGTAGGACAAGAACATTGCAGGTAAATGGGATGAGGGGTTGTGTTTAGGAATCTCTTAATTCCTATGAAGGGAGATTTCAAGGTTTTAGACATTGAGCGCCTGGCTCAATTACCATTTTAATAGCTAATTGTTAATATGGGAAGACAGACAAATCTCGGGAAGCAAGAGATGCCCATTAGGCATGAAGTTCTAAGTAGGGTTCTGGGACTTAGGAGTGATGTCTCTCTCCCTCTCTCTGCCTCTTTCCCTGGGGTCTTTCCACATGTAGCTTCAGGAAAGCCAGATTTTTTTCATGCTTGCATGTTGATCAGAAGCTCCCAAAGCAGTCCCTCTAAAAGAAACCTGCAGTAGCTGCATGGACTTTTCTGTTTTCTACCTCACCCTGAAAGTCAAGCAGAGTCACAGACCCACCTCTTGATGGGAAGTGTGTCAGACAACTTGCACTGTTTTAAAGCCATCACATTACAGAATCCCTGATAGTAAGTTTGTTATCTTTAAAGATTAGTAATCTTTTCCCTTTAAAAATAATGTTGAATAGTACCTTGTTTGGAATTATTAATGAAATAGCCATTTTCTTTGTATAGTTAAAATTATTCCCTTAAAAATATGAACCATTTATTTTTGTTGTACCGGTGTTTCTAAAATTCTTCATAGGACCTTCTTCCTTACACAGTTACCTGACTGAATCCTGTAACACTTCACCAAATGCAATGAAATATTGAAAACAGTGGAGCTTTTAAAAAATTTGAAGTTGTTCGGAGTTCTGTAGCCTTATCTTTAAGGATGTAAGAAGAGGTTTCTAGTTCTGGTTGTTATTTGTTTGCTAGAATGAGTCCTGAATCTCTTGGATGGTAAAATAAAAATTTTCAGCAGCCGAAATCTTAAGGAATTTTTAAAGACTTGTGTATTATTTTTGTATTTTGGAAATAGCATTTTTTTTCTTTAAGTGACCTGGAATTTTATAATTAATTTTCTTTTCACTGGATTTTATTAGAAAGGGAAAGTTGGATTGTATTTTTTTATATGAGTGATTTTAATAACTTAAAATGTGTGATTCTCATTCCTCACTATGTGTTACTCACCTTGGGAGTGTTAAAAAAACCCTATGCTCAGTTCCTACTCTCAGAGATTCTGATTAGTTGATTCGGTATGGGGTCCAGGTATAGGTATCTTTTATAGCTTCCCAGATGGTTCTATTATGAAGCTACATTTGAAACCCACTGCCCCACTGCATCAAATTGTGGTGTTTGCTGATGCTAATCTTGGTCTCTGTAACAGGGGAACAAAGGCAAATGGAAGGCCTGCCTGATGCTGCCGCTTTTGCAACTAAACTTAAAAACACTCTCATCCAGTACCATAGCATTGAAGATGACCTGTGGCGAGTTGCCAAGAAAACGGTAAGTTAGTTTAATTACTTATATTTGGGGTGTATCTTCTGCCTAATGAATCAGTTAATGACTTTCAGAATAGTATGGAAAAATATGGACCATACTTACGATGGATATGCAGAATAGATAATTTTGCTAATAAAATGTGTGTTTTAGCATGTAATAAAGGAAGAAACACAGTAATCCTGTAAAGTTTACATTAATTCTTTAGATATTGGACACGAGAATAGACTCAATGGCAAGAAGAGCCTGAAGAACAGCCTCTGAAGTCAACAAATAAAATGTATCATTGTCAATTTAAGGAAGTATTGTAATTGATAGTTTGGAGTAGTTTCAAATATTTCAACAAGTGTGTGAGGGTTGCCAGTTAGTACTTTTTATCTGTATAGCTTGCCCCAACTAGACCAGGGCTGAGTGTTGAGAGAGCCAACCCTAAAACCCAGGACCCTTCCGGTTCAGTGCTTCAGCTATTGTGATGTTCAGAATTTCTTGGGAAATGATCAGAAAAAAATGTAGGGACCAAGGCAGCACTGTCATAATAAGTGTGAATTGTTTAATATTTGAAAAGATATGAGTGAATTCAGAATGAAATATTTAGCATTTCTAATGCCTTAGTCTAAACGTGTCAGTAGATAAGCAAATAGAATAAAGCAAATAATAATGGCCAATGCGATAGTGCCATCACTGAATCTTTACAGGGCCTGGGTCACAGCAAGATACTGAAAAATCTTTTTGGAGGCCTGTAACTTAAGTAAAATGTGAAGAACTTTAGGATACAGAAGAAATTCAAATGTGGATCATTTGATGCTATAAATAACTTTTATTCATCTCTGAACATTTACTTAAGTTTTAATGCAAAGACTAATGCTCTAGACTTATGAAATTGTCAGTTTTATATCCAGGGTTCTACATATATAATTATCACCATATACTGTTTTTATTCTAGAGAGATGTCACCATTTGGAGAAAACCTTCAGAAGAATTTAATGGATATCTGTGAGTAAATCTAGTGGTTTTATGTAGCTCTTAAGACACTGATAAACATTTTATACATGTCCCTACACACACCCGTTAATGATCACTAAATGATCATTGCCAATAAAATTGAGCCTTCGTTGTTTTTCAGATTTAAACTTTCTGGGAAGCAAATTACCTTAATGAAGTCAAAGCCTATTTAATTTCCATATCCCTTGGGGACTGAGTTGGTGGCGAGAGGGTCATAAATAATGATATCAAACGACATAAGATCTTAATTTCTTAGCATAGTTATAAGATCCTTCTAAGAGTCTTTTACATTCACTCGGTGCTATAGCATACTTGATGCTAAGATTTTATCTTGAAGAAATCATCAGAAGGATAATAGTTAAGTACTTGTCTCTTCTATCACAGCATTGCTTATAATATTAAAAATTATAAGCAACTTGAGTAATCAATAGTTGGAGAATGAGTAAATTATTCTTCAACCTAAATTATTCTCCAAACCTTTTGGTTTCCTCTTGTTTTGTTTTTTATTATTATTTTTATTATTACGAAGTTTGATTAGGGTTAGGGTCAGGGTCAGGGTCAGGGTCAGGGTTAGGGTTAGGGTTAGGGTTAGAACATACATGATATTTTACCATCTTTTGAAAAACACATTTTCAAACATTATTTAACCCCATTCCACTTGTCCTGGTTTACCAGCCTGCCTCAGTGGGACTTCCAGTTCCAGTTCCTGGCCATATACATCCTTTCATTAACCCATTCCTCTTCAGGTAAATCCAGTATAGGAAAACCAGTCTTAGGATGTTCAACACAGACCATCATGTCATCTGGGAATAAAGGACCTGTTGGAGTCCTCTTCATTGGACTGGCTCCTCCTCCCCAGGCCAATCGCAGTCTGGATATGGCTCTTTCTATGCAAATCATGCTGCAAAAGTGGCTTTAAAACAGAAGTTTTATTCAAGGCTTTCAAAGATAGATGACCCACTGGTCTCCACTCAAAGAGAGCAAAATGAATCTTTCTCCAACAATTCATCATAGAAACTTGTAGTAGCTCTGGGGCACCCACCTTTGGAGTGCTCCAAAATCTTTCCTGTCAGTTCCTGGATAATGTTTGTGCTTCATGACACTCTAAATAAATATTTTACTTTGCCAGTGGAAGTGAATTCCCCAGGGGAACTGTGAATTTGTTATTCTGTTTTTTGGGGGGTTTTTTGTTTTGGTTAAGTACCCAATTCCTTTTTCTTGCCAGCAAATTCCCATTTCTTGCCTTTCAATAATGACCAAAATTGAAACCAAAATGGAGGCTTTGCCTCAAGAAACCCTGTGGGTAAGATTCCTTTATGTTAAGAAACCTACCCTGCATCCCTTACTAGATACCTGTTGAGTATTGAATCACTACAAAGGAGCATGTGTACCTGGAAAGAGCCTCATCTGGCCTTTATTTACTTCCCTAGGATGGAACCAGAGGGACTAGGGCCTGCTGGGGAGTGTGCAGTGCACAGGGCGAGTCATCTGAGAGTACCCCCATCTCCTGTTTGTGTTCAAGTGAAATTTGGTTAGTGTCAATTCCCAGGGGGAAGTTTAAGAAGAAAAAAAAAGAAATGGGACAAAAGCTAATGAGTAGGCTTTCCCAGGGTAAAAACAGCCAGGCTGCTTCCTTTTCTTTAGCCTACTGGTATATATATTTTTAAACATAAAGAAATGATTAAACAAAGGTTGCCACATGTTTACCTTTAGCAGAAGAACATTTGCACATACAAACACTGGTATGTGTATAGTTTTATTTGACATCAATGTGGAAAGCAGAACTCCTTGGGTGTGAGGTCAGGCATTTCTACTTCCCTCATCCTCCCTCTCCTGCCCTACCTCCCAGTGCATCACTCAATAGGCTCTGGAAGGAGGGGAGGGAAAATTGGATGTGGTTTGGTTGCTAGGAAACCATACTCTATGCATAATCTGGGTATTCTCCCCTACCCTTTCCCACAGCAGATTTTACTTTATTAGTTTTTTGAATAGGCAACACATTCACATGTTTCAAACATCAAAGTGTACAAACAGCACTAAAACAAAAGATTCTCTTGTACCTTATCCCTCTTGATTCAGTATCTGTCCTCCCTAACAAATAACTACTGTTATTTTTTCTTGTTTATCCTTCCGGATATTTTTTATGTATAAATAAGTCATATAGACACATTTTATTCACCCTCACATTTTAATATTTTTAACATATGTGACAACTTACTCTACACACAAGTATGATACGTGTATTTGTATTTTTCTGCGTGATTTTTCCATATTGATTAATTAAGAACTCCCTTGTTTTTTACAGCTAAAGAGTATTTCATTGCATGGATTTACCACAGTTGATTAAATCAGTTGCCTTTTGGTAAACATTTAGGTGGCTTACAGTCTTTGGCTATTACAGACAATGCCTTGTAAATGATTCTTCTATGTTCAGGAATATCCCTTGTACAGTATGTTGTTCTCATATGCAAGCGTATCTGGGTGATAAATTCCTAGTGTCAAAGGGTATATATATTTGTAATGTAGATAAATACTGACAAACTGATCTTAACAGAAATTGAACCACCATATAATCCCACCAATAATGCATGAGACTGAGTTTTGCTAATCAGATAAGTGACAAATGGCCTTTCATTGTAATTTTAATTTCTTTTATAATTGGTATTAAAAAAATGTTAAGAGCTACTCATTATTTTCCTTTAATAAACTCTGTATGGACATTGCAACTTTTTCTATAAGGTTGCTGATAATTTCTGACTGATTTGTAGGGTGCACCTTTATATATTAGGGCGATATAAGTTGTGAATATTTTTCCTGTTCTGTCATTTATCTTCTGACTTTGCTTATGATTATTTTCAAAAGGATTGCATTTTTTAACAGATTTTTTGTGTAGTTAAATATATCAATATTTTAAGGTTTTTGGATTTTGTACATTTCTAACTTTGCTAGATAGACCTAATCTATTTTTGAGGTTATAAAAATGCTTCCATGTTCTTTCTAATATTTTAATAAATTTATATTTATATTGATGTTGTAGAGGAAGAAAAATAATTTTCCCATTACCATTCTGATTTTTTTACTCCTATAATAAAAGAGAGATTAACAAGAGAAAGACAAGAAAAAACGTTTTTTAAAAACTTAAGGAAATGATCACTATATAATTTAAAGTGAATAAAGTGCATATTTAACTGTGTATAGCACAGATGTGAAATGATTTTATGTATTTTTTTTGTTTTTTTTAACACCAAATGTATACTTCTAGATGGCAGTTTTATAGGTGATTTTTATTTCCGTTCGTTGGTATTTGCGTATAGTTGAACATGAATTGCCCCTTTAAACAGAAAAAACATATATATATTACTTTTTAAAGCCAATGAGGACAATTACTTTGTGTAATTGGAGTGGAATTTTCAAGTCCTTGGGACCCAGTCAATTTTAAAATGAAACTGGGGTCTGGCCCTGCTTCCTATACATGGAGTGTTCTGAAGTGTAATATCAGAGATAGCGTTTCCAGAAAGATGAGTTATACAATATTTATGATGAGGACAGAGAAACTGGAGTTGGATTAATCATTGTAAGCAAGGGTGGAAAGTTGATCCTTTAGATCAGTAATTCCCAGCGAGGGTTGAAAAGTGTACAGAGTGCTAAGGGAGCATTGTGCTTGGTGATTTGAAAGGACTTCATACAAGAGCTAATATTTAAGCTGAGTCTTAAAAGGGAAATAGGTATTTCTTAGAGAATAGAGGACGGATTCATATTCCAGGCAGAGGGAATTGCATCTGCTGCATAAGCACAGATGGGAAACACTTCAAGAAGTTTGTTTAGGGAGATAGAAGTAGTGTTTGTATAGCTGGAACATAAATTATGAGGGTATGGAGAACATATGTCTGCAGGAGTTTTGAATGCTCAACTAAGGAATTCAGTATGGCACTTAGGCTGTGTTCAGCCCCCAGCCCCACCTCTCAGGTCCTCAAAGGATTTTAAGTTTACTCTAATAACAGTGTGACAGGAACTCCAAGAGTTGAGAGAAGAGGTTTTACCCAGGGAGTCCGGGACTAGCTTCTTGAAGTTCCCCTAAGACTGTATACAAAATTTTGTCTTAGTGTGTACATTCTTGGGAAGACATTTGTGGCTTTTTTCAGATTCTTAAAGCTTCTTAAAGAGCTAGAGATGGATGCAGTGCTGAGTTGAACACAGAGAGCACAAACTAGACAGAGCATGGGAGTGGAAAAGGGCAAGTGGACATGAGACTTAGCGATGGTGGTGGTGGGTGGTTTTGACAGTGATGACATCATTTATTGAGAACCAGATACTGTTCCAAGTAGGTTATATTTAGGAAATCATCTTAAAGCACGATGACTTCTTAATTCTGACTATCGGAATAAGGTTAAGAGAAAAAGAAGGGTCCAAATCGAACCCCAGATTTCTAATTGGGTGACTGGATTAATTTGTACGGCCCCCACTGCCCATCCTCCACCCCACGTTAGAGAACGCAGGAGGGAAGTGCAGATCTAGGATGGGTGAGATAATGTAAGTTAGAACTTGAAATATCTGTAAAATGATAAAACAACTTCAGATGCTTTAAAGTAAACAAACAAATAATGTTGCTGATAAAGTTAAAGCCAGTCTGTCTCTCATTCCTTCTCTTTCTTTTCCCCCCCAGAGGTAATTGCTATCTTGAAGTTGTTCTTTTTCACACTTTGACCACTTGTGTGTGTTTCCTTTAGTGACCTGCTTTTAATTTTTTCCACTTAACATTATGTTTTCAGGATTTAGCATGTAGATCTATTCTGTCACTTCTATATGAATATACCACAATGTATTCATCTGTTTGCATATTGGCCTACTGATAACTTTTCAGGTGGCCATCAATTCCTCCCTATAAAGTGCACTGCTCTAGGAAGCCTTTTGTTATATGTCTCCTACACCTGTGTGATTCTTTGGGTATGCACCTGGCTCTGAGGGACATGCATCATTCAGCTTTACCAGACATTGCCAGATTGCTCCCTAGAGTGGTGGTGGCAGCGTGAGAGTTCTCATTCCCTTCCATTCAATACTTGTTGTGAACTTTATAATTTCTGCCAGTCTGAGGGTACCTTGTTATATTTAGTTGATTCTAAGTGAAGTTGAACATCTTTTCTAAATTTATTGACATTTCAGGTCAATCTTAATTGTCCTTTGCCCATCTTTTCTTTGGATTATCTGTCTTTTTTTTTAATGGTTTATAGGAATTAATTATATACCCTGTATAATAATCATATGTCTGTGTATATGTATTGCCCATATCTTCTTCCAGTCTATGAATAGTTTTTAAAGAAATTACTTAATCTGTCATTTGTGGTATGCAAATTTTAGACTTTTAACTACCTTTATTAATTGTGCTCTTGTGCATTTTATATATTTAAAACATCCCCCTGGCCCTGACTGGTGTGGCTTAGTGGATTGAGCACCATCCTGTAAACCAAAGAGTCACCAATTCAATTCCCAGTCAGGGCACATATGCCGGGTCCCCAGTGGGGGCTGCACAAGAAGCAACCACTTGATTTTTTTTTTTTAAATCACCCTGTACCCAGAGGTCACACAGATGGTCACTTATATATTTTTCTCAAACTTTAAAAGTTTTGCATTTTACATAGTGGGCTTTACTCTCTCTGGAATTGTTTTGAATGGTGTGAAATAGGGATTTAGTTTTTAGTTTCTTTATTAAGGTAATTACTGTATCCCAAGCACCATTTATAGAATAATACATCCTTTCCCTGCAGATATATGCATATAATGCCACTTTTCAAGTATTTCAAGTTTTAATACTATTCATGAGGCAGTCCTAGGTGTTTTATTTCTAGGTGACCTGTTTTTTTGTTCCTAATAATAAGTTTTTAAAAGTCACGGTAAAAATATGTGTATTCTAATAACATGTTAGAGCACAACTGAAGTGAATAGCATACTCAGTAAATGGAAGTGTCACAGTGTCTGCATACTGTTTTGGCTACGTCATGGTGTGACGGTACTTACTATGTCCATGGTAATAGCACATGAAATAGCCTTCAGATCTCTTAGTAGATTTGAGGACAAAGAGTGCATTCTGAGAAAATAATTGATAGAACTTAATTTATCAGTAAAGTTGTTGGGGTTTACTCCCTTTAATACATCTTCATTAACTTTTACTCTTTTTGAAGTTAGTTTTGAACTACAAGGACATGCGGAAATTTTTCATTTTAATAGTATTTGACTTTAATGTTTTTTTTTTCCCTTCAGTTTCAAAGCCCAAGGTGTTATAGATGATGTTGTCAATAGTGTAATGGACCACATATGCCCAGGTCCCTGTCGCTTGGATTGGGACAGCTTAATGACTTCATTGGACATTTTGGAGCACTTTGAAGAGGTATTTGTGTAGAAATGTTACTTCAGATTGTGTGTGTGTGTGAGAGAGAGAGAGAGAGAGAGAGGGAGAGAGGGTACGAATGTGAGCGTGTGTGCACATTTGCACTCATGGCTTTGAGTACTCATGGCAAAGATCTCACAGGGGAATCCTTGCTGTCTTTTAAAAAGCTAGAGCTTTCTCATATCACCTAATGAGTGTCAGTCAGACCTGAGTGTGTTTTCCGCAGCAGCTCTACCCTTGCTGCTTAAGGCAATCATCAGCATCTTTATTTATAAAACTTTAAGTTCTGAAATCTAAAATTCTGAGAACACCACTGCTATGTGTAAATAAATTATAGATAAATTATATGTAAGTTTTCTATCTATATTAATCTAAAATCAAAGACCAAATATAAAAATGCCATCATAGGCATTAGAGAATTTTGTACCTGAAGTGGCTTGCTCTCTTTTCCTACTTTTATTCATTGAGCTCTTGCCATTGAGTTTTGCCATGTTTGAATTTCTCTTTTTTAAAACTCTTTATTTATTTTAGAGAGAGGGGAAGGGAGGGTGAATGAGAGGGGGAGAAACATTGATCGGTTGCCTCTCCTACGAACCCTTACCTTTGACCAAACCTAAAACCCAGGCTAGTGCTCTGACCGGAAATCAAACTGGCGACCTTTCACCCTGCGGGACGATGCCCAACCAGCTGAGCCACACTGGTCAGGACATCATGTTTGAATTTCTTTATTGAACCATGTGGTGTTTTAGTTAAGGTATTTGTGGATTTTATATTAAACATTTAAAGTCTACAACACACACTTCTATGTTGAATATCATACTGGATACAAAGAGACTTTATTGAATTAGAGATTTGGATATGGGGTAACCTGTGTCTCTGTATTTTGATTATTTATCCTCTTCATGTGCATACAACAGTGAGATTTAGAATAGAGATCTAAACCTGTCGGAAGCACTGTAAGAATCATTACTACTAATTATAATGCATTTTAAGTAAGTATTCATTTTTTTACTGAAGATGAACTTACGATACATGAGTCTATGTATGTGTCCCTGTAGTGGTAACACCTGTTACTTTTCCTCTTCCAGAATTGCTGTGTGATGCGTTACACTACTGCTGGTCAGCTTTGGAATATAATTTCCCCACGAGAGTTTGTTGATTTCTCCTACACTGTGGACTATCAAGGAGGGCTTTTATCCTGTGGTAATGATCTCAAAACCTTATACTTCCTTTCAATTTGTTTTAAAACTCAATTTATTTGAGTTTTCTAGGCTGGATGTTTCTTTCAATATAAGATATATTTTTGCAGTTATTTATGATCCCTAGGCTTTGTTTGTAAATACTGAACCCTAAAAGTTAAAATAACAATTTCAAGAAGGGTTCTGAGATCTAAGTTTTTACTTACAGTTATGTGGTGCCCTCCAGGCCACAGCAAACAAATGTGGGTCACATGACTGCCTTCCAGAAAGAATCCAGTAGATGAAAAACAGGTTCTTAGTCATATAGGTAGAAAAAATAGGCTTGGTGTGTGTTAGAATATTTTTCCTTCCTTGAGTTGCGTGATAGTCTTCTTTTCAAAATTAAAAACACTGCTATTAGAAGCTTCCTGCTTTCTAAGGCAGTTGTAGTAAAACATCTGCTTATTTATCCTTAACTAGGTAGTACCAAAGTTGGACATGGTAGTGCCTCTGGGGAGCAGTGGTGACACCAGAGGTTTGAGTATTGGCACTTGGAGGCCTGGATGCCGCATCCAAGATGTGTGGTTACCAAGACAACATGATATCTTTCATTCCGAAGGGGTTAGAACTTTCCCCATTACTTATCTAGCCCCCTGTCAGACTTCTACCTGGTAATTATTTTTTGTTTTCATTCTTCCATGGTTACTCTTGGGGCTGAATTTTCATCTACATGGATAATGAAAATTACTTAAACGAAATGTAGTAATATTTTTAATGAGAGTTTTAGACTTATGTCAGTCATTACCAGTAATGGTGTTACCTTAAAATTGCCTTGTAGGGAGAAGTCTTGAATGGAGTGAAAAGAGACCAGAATTTGTCCGCGGATATAACCATCCCTGTGGTTGGTTTTGTGTTCCACTGAAAGACAGTGCACACCAGAGTCTTTTGACAGGCTACATTCAGACGGATCTGCGTGGGATGATCCCTCAGTCTGCAGTAGACACAGCCATGGCGAGCACGTTAATCAACTTCTATGGTGACTTGCGAAAAGCCTTATGAAAGGCATGATCCGTTCAATCTTCTGGCACAATGGTTCCCTGAATCAGCTTTTTCTCTCAGCTCCATGGCCTGTATAAAACATCACCCTTTCCTCTCTTCTTTACAGCCTGTAGAAAAATTTGAGATGTTTTGGGCTATTTTATTCTTAAAGTAAATACCTATCAAAGAGAGGGCATTTTAGTTTTCTTATAGTTCTTTGCACATTGTTTGGTGTCAAGAGTGTCTAGGAGTGGAGGGAGAGTATGACAGAAATCCACCAACAAGTAGATAAGAGTTCTTTGACCCAAACTCTGAAGAAGTTGAATAGTGCCTCAGTATGAATTCTTTTGGCTGCTTGGAAATTAGAGAAAGCACAAGCTTCATGCTGTTAGGTTTAAAATAATCTATTTTAGAGCTTTATGAACATTTTGTAAAAGTTAATTTTTTTCAATAGTTAAATATTAGTGCTTTACTTTTGGTATGCTGTATGAGTTTGCATACATCTTGGACTAAAGAAAAAATTCTCTATATTTTATAAAAATGAACTTCATTGTTAATTGACTTGCACTACTTTAAGTATTGAAAAGATAAATATGAAAAGGATAGATGTTATAGTAACTATAGGTTCAAATCAAATGCAATTCAATTTTAATACCTAGGTAGCATTATTTTGTGGATATCTTTAAAAATATAGTTGTATTTTTATGTGCATTTATTCTGGGAGTCTTAAAACATTTATGCATGAATAAAACAGTACAAAAAACTGCCAAATATATGCTGGGGACACCATATTGACCAGGCAATAGTGTGGGTTGTGTAAAGTGGCTGGTGGTATCCTGTATTTAGCAACAAGGAATCATTTCTCTAAAAACAGTGGTCCCCAACCATTTTGGCACCAGGGACTGCTTTTGTGGAAGATCGGGGGATGGGGGAACTCAGGTGGGGGCATGGAGCTCAGGTGAGCTTTGCTTCCTCACTAGCAGCTGTAGATGGGGTGGGGTGGAGACAGGAGGCAGAGCTTCATTTGCAGCTGAGTTCCTTGGGGACGCCTGCTGTAGAAGGTCAAATTCAGTGAATGTTTTGTATGTGTTTCACTTTTAAAAGTATTACTCAGCCCATAGAGTATTACTAACTACTTCATAAACATTCACAATTGTGACATAACTTTTGTCTGGAACTGTAACAAATGGATTCAGAGATTTATCCAAATGCCTAGATGAGTCATTTTATAACGAGAATGGACTGTAACAGGTCCCCCGATTCTATGGTTGCCTTAGCTGAACATTCCTAAATGATTTTAGCATTCTAAATCACTCTGGCTTTTGAACTATCCACTAGTTTACTTCTAAAATGAGGATTTGAGGCATCCTGAAGTGCCTGGGCACATTTTTGTGTGTGTTTGTTTTGTACATGCAACGTCTTGGAATCTGTTTCATTGTTCAGTATGAGTTCTTTCTGTGTTATTATTACTGTTTCATTTCCCTTTTATTTTCTGTTTTTGTTTAGTGTGGGGTAAAATGAAATCTGGAGATATGAGCCAGATGGGCCAAAAGAAGCGCACGAGCACATTAGTGGTTCAAGCGCATGAAGATCTGATCTGTGTTTTACGTTGCATTCTCCTGAGTGTGAAGAGAGCATAGTCATTGTTCCTCAGACCCATTTTGATAAAATGGAAAAAGTAGAGCTGGGTTTTGTCTTTATTTTTATTTTTTGCTATTAGCAATGATGTTAAAAAAACAACAGCAACAAAAGGTTGCAGCACTACAATATCCACAGTGAATAATTTCACAGTTTTTATTAGCACCATGCTCTAACCAACTGGGCTAACCAGCTGGCTTAAGCTTTTAGGTTGAAAATAATTTGTTTTAAGATCTGACAGAAACAATGTATAAATGATCCTATTTTCTTAACTTGAAATTTATTAATAAATAATTGTTTCTAAGTTGACAGCAATTTTGAGTTGCTAGATTTCTCTCCCACTTTTTTCATTTTGTAATAGGAAAAGAGCACTCAGCAATTTAGTTTCAGTTTCCCATGGAAATTGTTGAAAGTTAATTTCGACTTGATCTATTTTTTTTTCATTTGGTTTCACTAGTGTAGAGTAGGAAGTTTCTTGTATTCCAGTATTCTGTCTAAGACGGCAAAGTACCAACAGATGTTTGGTCTTAAGGTTCCCAGGTTGGGTAAAGGGGTTTGCAGCAGTGTTGTGCATAAGGGCTATTATTGCTTGCCTTGGGTGCCCCGAACACAAGTGAACTGTCCCCTTCAGTCACCCTAATGTTCCTTTTGTCCTTTTCAACTTATTCTTCTAATTAGTGATTATTGCATAATCCTCTGTTTACAGTGGACCTATTACAGGTGAAAGGATACTCACAGGAAAATTTTTCACTACAATATGGAGTCATATGGATTGAGACATTATATTTAAGCTACCTGAAGTTTCTATGCAGCTTCTACATGGCACTTTGGATCTGCTGGGCCCTAGCTGTGTACTTAAAAATGAACAGCTTTATTGAGGTGTAATTTACATGCTACACAACTTACCAGTTGTCGGTATACAATCCAGTGATTTCTGCATACCTCATGGTTGTGCAGCCATCAGCACAATCCAGTTTTAGAACATTTTCATCTCCCAAAAGATCCGCTGCCTGTTGGCAGACTTATACCTAACTAAAGGCTAGCACAATTCCCAGTACACAGAGGATGATGACAAAGACTGGAGGAGGTTCTGTCAGGGTTTGTTTTTAAGGGGAGAGGTGTACTTGAATCTAAGCTCAGGAACCTTGTGTTAATATATTAAAGTATGTTATCTCAAGTGCCATAATGATACAAAAATTGAACAATGTGGGTTGGGATTAATGAGTCTGCTGTTTCTATGGCAGTGCTGTTGAATAAAAAACTAATGTGAAGCAATATGTCATTTTAAATTTTTTAGCAGCAACATTAAAAACAAAAAATGGCTGAAATTAATTTTAATAATATAGTTCATTTAACTCAGTAGATCTAAAATATTATCACTCAACATTAGCCAATATTTAAAATCATTAAAATACCTTACATTCTTCTTTTGTACCAGTTACTTGAAATCTGGTGTGTACTTCACTAATTTGGACTAGTCTCATTTTAAGTGCTCATTGTCCACATGAGGCCAGTGTCCTATATGGAACAACACAGCTCTAATGTGTGTATATATATACCTACATACTTATATAAAAATTTGTTATTCCATAGTAGGAAGTAGAGAATTTCATGAAATTACTCTTAAATACAAAATCTCTGATTTCTGAACCTTCAAGGCTTGCTAAATGGGGACTTCTGAACATTAGAAATAAATCAGTTAGTTGTTGTCAATAAAATACAAATTATAGCTCCCCCCAACTTTCTTTAAAGATAACTTTTCACAGGGCGATTAACAAAAGAATATAATCTGCCTTATGTGGTTGATTATTTTTCTCTAGCTGATGGCTAGTTTGTATTAGAAACATGTATGCAGGAATACTTGGCATAGTACTGCTTTTAGTACATAGTACCTATTTTACATTTAAGGAAATTAATTTCATACAAGAAAAATAATTTATCCTAAGTGATACTTTTGCATGAGATATTATATTGATAGCTATTAACTGTTCAAGTTTGACACAATAATGAGGAAAAATAATTGTGAGAATTTAGTGTTCTGCAGTTATGTGTGATAGAAACTTGTACAGTGTTAAAGAGATCATGAATGTTAAAAATCTCTGCATTTCACTGTTCATTGTGGTTGGATATATTTGAAATTATAGATTTCTATATCTAAAATGACCTCCCAGTAAAAAAAAGCTTTTAGATATGAGTAATTCCCTTTGATATAGGTAAAAGTTTTACCTGTCTACTCAAGAACACACTAGCATTCTTAAAATATGTTAAAATTCAGTGTCTTTTAATTTAGTGGGTGCTGTAGCTATACCAGCCCTGTGGATAAATTAGCAGAACCTAGAGAGGTTAGAGAATTGGCCAGATTTCTGTTCGGCCCTGTGCTGTGTAATTGCGTGTCTGATGTATCTCCCATGTCTTTCTTACTTAACTTCTAGAGCCAGGGGATGGCAGGATCTGAGCGTGGGAGAAACACTAGATTAATCCCAGAGTACAGGAAATTGACATTATCATTTCTTCATTATTTTGTTGTTTCCAAAGGTTTTTACATATATAATTAAATAAAAATTCATATCTTGCAATTCAATTAAAGCTAATATAGATTTTATTTTTAAGATATTTGTAGTTCCTTTGTGAGCTGGTCTGTAAAACTAGAACCTTTATTAAACTAAGAGCATGTGTTAATATAAATAAAAGGTGTATATGTTTTTTAATTGCTATGAAATATATCAGAATAAAATTTCTAGATTCTTGTAATTTATCCTTGATACTATCTATATAAGTTGCTTTAACCTTATTGACAAATAATTTCATATATCTGAACTTAAAGTATACAATTTAACTTCCTGAACTCTTCCAAAACTGTGCATATAAACTGGAAAATAAAGATTAATAATGAACACACTAACCTCCTGCCAGTGTCTCATATCGCATTAGTTACAGTACCTCTGAATCTTGATTTGCTGTTATATAGCCAGGACAGTGATGAATGTATTCAGCCTTTATTACAGTAACCTATGGTGGACACATGTACTGTAATATTTATTATACATGTTTAAAGAATCATGTTAACTCGATTAGGAATTATGGTGATAATTTCATTTGGAGTTGAAAAAAGCTGAAAGTGATTACAAAGAAATACTTGTCCTGTTATAAGAAAGCAATTATGGATACTGTGAGGAGTATGCAATGGAAAATTTGACTATTAAAAGGTTTAAACAAATAGGTATTTTCCTTAAAAAAACCTGCATATAGATAATTGTTAGTATTTTTTTTAAAGGTTTCATTTATTTATTTATTTTTAGAGAGACAAAAGAAGGGAGAAAGAGAAGGAGAGGAACATCAGTGTGTGGTTGCCTCTTGAGCATCCCCTACCAGGGACCTGGCCTGCAACCCAGGCATGTGTCCTGACTGGGAGTTGAACTGGTGACCCTTTGGTTCGCAGGCTGGCACTCAGTCCACTGAGCCAAACCAGCCAGGGCAGGTAATTGTTAGTATTTAACAGCTCAAGAATTCAGGGCCAGTGATTATACAGTTCTCATCATTCCCTCATATTGGTGAGGTGACTGTAGCCCATGGATATTATATGTGCCCTCAAGTCAAGAAGTAGGGGAAGGCATGAACACAACTCATCTGTCTCTTTGGTCAGGAAAGCAGAAACTTTCCCAGAAGCCTCTAGTAGCTTTTCTTCCCCAAGTCTGGGTCCCATGACTACTCCTAGCTATAATGCTAGCTGGAAAGGCAAATGTAAGACTTTCCAGCCTTTTGGAAAGAGGGTTGGTAATGACCCTTTGGACAGCCAACTGTAGTAGCATCCCTCAATGGATCAGCTCTGGGAGGTGTGTGTGATTCCTTCAGATGTCAGCAACAGGAGAGTGATAGACTCCCAACATAGAAATAAAAAAAACAAAACAGAGTAGTCATTTACTTTCTCATAAGACATTTACTAGCTATCCTTTATTGAGGTCATGAGGTGATGGGACTTCTGTAGGTTCATTAATGGGTGCTGTCACATGGCATCCAACATGAATGACCTGTGTTTATATTACACGGTGTTTTCATTCCTCTGGAGCAAAGGCTCCACTGTGGATGCAGGCTCCTATAGCCAGAGATGACAGAAGATTGACGGAAAATGTGAGCTACAAGCGTACCCCAGGAGAAAGGGTAGATCCACATTCCTTGTGTTATTAACTGTACAGGTGATTTAGTGGAGTGGAGTATTCTCAAAAATAATGGAGGAAGCATAATATGCAAATATCAAAATAGGCTTTTTGCTCATTGTTTGGATGTTTTTTTTTTCAGGAGACTTAAGGACATCCCTTAAAGTGAGAGCTGATATTTTTTATTAAAAGAAATAGTCCAGAGACTGTGCAAAGCTAGGTTGAGATAAAAATGTTTTGTATAGTCAAAATGGGCTTGTTTTTCTCCAGCACTTCTCTCCATTGAGAAGTCATTTATTACTCAACAAAGTGAGGATTTGAAATCTAATGGTAGTAGCAAGCTGCAGTTCTGAGGGTAAGCTCTGCTGTTATCCCCTTCTCAGATATTTTACACAAATGTTTGCTAATGGAGTGGCCAAGCTTAAGACTTGCTGATCCTTACAGCTCATGTGGCTAACAGTCAGCTTCTTCAGCATGAATGTGCGGTTTAGTCCTTCTCATGCTCAGGTCATGTCCATTTGAAAGCATCATCATGAAGTGACCACTGAATATCATTGGGTCCAAAGAAAACTAATTCCACATTAGTATTGTTTCCTGAGGATTGATTTCCCCACATAAAGGGTGTTATGTAGTGTTACTGAGGAAAAAAAAAACAGTTGAGACTGTATTATTATGCAGCTGTCATAAATGAGAATTTATGCAAAAATGCTTGTGCTTTAGTGCTAAGTTGATACAAAAATGTTATAATACAATTGCAAGTCTGGAAGAACAAGACAGTGCTTTTCTTTGGAAGACCTTATTGTGCTAATTTTCTGTGGTTTGAAAGTGTTACAATGAAACATCAGTCTTTGTGTGAATTGTGGCATTTACCTTGTGCCGTGGTGCACTGACTTCCCAGGGGCGGGTGCACTGGGCTGGGAGACAGCCGACCCAGACCTGTTCTTTTAGCCACCAACTGTGGCCTTTTCGGGTGTCACGTGTCCAACAAAATGACTGTGTTGGATTAAATGACTACCACTAAGTTTCCCCTTTAACTTTAATGGTGTTATGACTTTTATGACATCACTGTATAGCACTTTAAAATGCTATGAAACTTAAAGTATAATTTTCTCCAACAGAATGGGAAAACAATGAAGGAGTGATCCCACCTCATGTTTTGGATGTAAGGCGAATGTCCATTGTGTCCCTCTTGAGTTGTGGTAACATTCAAAGCACAGAATGCAAAGTTTCAGTGGGCTCTTAGATGATTTATTACCATACTGAACATGCAAATTGCTTTACAGACTTCCCAGCAGCTAGATAGATGCTGCTTTTGGCATGGTCTTTTGACACATCTGGGTGACTTGCACACAGTAACAGTGGCCCTCACTAAGGTCAGTTTCAACAATTTACCAACATCCATTTTGTCTCACGTTGCATATTCTCCCTTTATGTTCCTGGGAAACACCAAAAAGTGAGCTTGTTCCGTCACTCAATCGGGTTCTTCAACCTGAGACCAAGAAGAAGCCACAGGTGTCTGTGGCTGTGATGTTGTCTGCCCCCGGCTTTGGGCTGCTGAGAGCGCCAGTAAGTCTGTTGTGTCCCCTCTGTCGGCAGCTGGGACTCTGCCAGTCCCCAGCATTGGAGAACGTGGTAGCTCAGTCAAAAGCAAATGGGCGTGATTTTGATGAGTTCTCTACAAACATTTTCTGTATTTACATTTATGGCCAGATCAGATTTACATGTTTACCTAAAAAAATTTCAATATATCTTTGTATGAAGGAGTTGATAGCACCATTTTGACAAGTTTTAAAAATGAAATGTTCAGAGCGCCTTTTTCAATACTTTTCAACCAGAAGTTGGGGAGGTAACCTACAATATTGCCTGTGTAAATACAGTCATACTTTTTTTTTTGTCCTCCAAACCCTACATGTGCTTGTTTTTGGCTAATGACTTGAATCTAAGCTACTGGAGACATAGGTGTGCTGTATAGAATGGGTTCCATTCATCTAATCCCCCATGCTGCTACTGAGATGCTTATGTCTGGTTAGGCCAGTAAACTTTTGATAACCCAGGAGTACAGATTTCTCCTATATGAAAAGACATATCAGATAATGCCACATGAGCCTGAGAAACCCTAGTAGAAAGTCCTCCTTTCTCGGTGCCTGCTAAGTTGTATGTTCTGAACCTCCCAGTCTCTACGTCTTAGCTTCTCTGTCTCTCAGATGGCAGTCGACCTTTGATCCTTCTCCATTTTGCCCCGAGGAGCAGTGCAGCCAATCACAACCACAGGCAGGATCCAAAACAAGCAAGGAGGCCTGACAACTAAAAGTTTACCTGCTGTAATCTGATCCTCATTGGTAAATATTTTAAAAAGTAACTTTTTTTGAAGATGGCTGTGAAATACTGCCTGCAGTGAATGATATAAGAAGGGATTTATAGAAAGGGGTGTAAAGGGGCAAGACAGGGATGAAGAAGAAAGGACTTCACAGGATCAGCTTGATATTTGAGGGAAGCAGCTGTGAACATTTTAAATTTCATCATCTGAGACTTAGCTTTTTTTGTACAGGTTGTCTTTTGAAGTCTAAACGTGCAGGTATAATTCTGTCTCAATTCCTGCAGGGATTGTCTTTTTGGGTCAGATAATTTTTGAAGGGTTAAAATAACTAAGGCAGAAGTAACCTTGATGTGAGCCTCCATTGGCAAAGCTTTAGCAAGTCAATTGGTGATTTCTAGTCACAGAGCTATTCAGATACTGGAGTTTTGCAAAACTTACTCAGATAATCACTGTCATTACTCTGCTTTGTCAGTGGAGGCCTAGCCAAGCCAATGCAGTCTTCACTTCAACTGGCGACTTGCAAACATTTCTTTGCTGTCTTGATTTTTATCCTATTTAGGGATGTGCCAAATTATCCCATAGTAAAGTATGTAGGAGATCCCAGAAAGCTAGGTACTCAGGAAATGCACAGGGTATCTACCCAGAATAAGAAAGCAGCAAGGTCTGTCTAATTCAGCTTTGTACAGGATCTGAGACTTGTTCAGACTTAGCAGCACTTCCTTTAGATTTTAGCTTTTCAAACCCAAGATGTTCCTCACCACTTTGCCTTGCATTTCTTCACTCTAGATTTCTCAGCCAAACTTGACCCCTTCCACATCCCTACCTGCAAAGACCCTACCCACCCTTCAAATCCAGCCTGTGTTCCCATGAGGCTTTCCTTGATCATTCCAGGCAGAAGGGAGCCCTTTATCTTTCCATCCCTAGAGGGCGTACTGCCTGCCTAAATGTAGCACGGCTCCATGGATTACTTGTCTCCATCTATAGAGCTCACTTTTCATGTAGCTGAATTCACCTCTGCCTCCCTCACTGTACAGAACTCTTTCTCAGTGAAAGTTGACTGAGAAAAACGGGTTCCTGGGATGGGCTACTCCTGGGAGCTTCAAAATTAGCAAATTATTTCCTTACAGTGTGCTTGCGATGTAGACCTAATATCCCCTAAACTCCGCTGTTTAAAATGGTTCTGAGAGGAAAACTATTGACTTTGGTCTATTCATTTCTAAGGGAAGTAGGTGCCCCTGATATTGAGAGAAAGGTAGAAATGTTCATTTCAATACATTGACAACTGCCTTCAAACAGCAATTAAGAAGAACGAGCAGGAGGAATGTGGAATCCTAATCTACATTTTATCTTTTCCCTCTTCCATTCTAATTGTCTCCCTCCTACACACAACCAAGAGAAGCTGGCATATGATTCATCTCTTCCTTGAGTTCT